TTCGTTCTGAGACTGAGCTCGTTAAGGAGCTCGTTAACTCAAATTACTCTATCAACTCAATGCAAAAAATCGGCGGAGAGACAACTGGTATCTCAAAAAACTCATTGGTCAGGACACTCGTAAGTCAAGGCCCCACTGTATAATGCCCACATCATTGGATAGTGTCTTGAATCTTCACTTCATGAGGGGTGGCTGGATTAACAGATAACATGCCAGGTTGCCCCATGCAATATGTGGGGAAAGACACGAAAACATTATGTCATTGAATCCTTATGCTAAAACACTACTTGTCGCTTATCTGAAATCCAAATTTAACCGGGTGTCTCGTATTTTATCGACACCCCTACTCCTATGTGTAAGTTCACTAAAAGGCCACTGTTTCCAAATTGAAGGCTGAGCCAGCAGTTCTCTGGGGCTGACGGGGAAGACCAGCTGAAGGTGCTACCAAGCTGCTGCCTGAGAACCTGTGTCTGGGAAACAGAAAGGAAGGGGCTCCCGGGGAGACCATTGGAGAAGTAGGGTGACCAGAAGGAACAGGGAAACAGAAGGGGACAGTGGAGAAGTTTAAACCCCTGATGGCTTTCACATATCGACCCGCCCTGGGCTCTGCAGACCTTGGAATTCCATAGGCCAGCGGTTCTCAACCTGTGGGTCCCGACCCCTTTGGGGGTCGAACGACCCTTTCACAGGGGTCGCCTAAATACAGCCTGCATATCAAATATTTACATTACGATTCCTAACAGTAGCAACATTACAGTTATGAAGTAGCAACGAAAATAATTTTATGGTTGGGGGGTCACCACAACATGAGGAACTGTATTAAAGGGTCGCGGCATTAGGAAGGTTGAGAACCGCTGCCATAGGCACTTAAAGCCAGTTCCCTTTCGGAGGAAATAGTCCCTCTGCTCCAAGGGCTCGGAGCGCCTCCTGGTGGCCATGATAGGAATCGACCCCCAACCGCCCTCGTTCATCCCCCAGATTTCTCACCTCCCTTTCCCTTCCGAAGCCTGACTGGCCATCAGCTTCCTCCGCTCTTCCTCCCTCACTCTCCGTGGGCTCATTCCTCGGAGCCCGCCTCCGGGGTGACATCCCCCAGCTGCTCTGGCCCCGGAAGAGGCCACACAGAGCGGGTCATTGTTGCCCCAGTGCTGGGACCACCCGGCTGGGCGAAGGGGCCGCGCTGTGCCGAGGCCGGATGACTGACAGCAGCGTCCGGTCACAGCGCCCCATGGGCGCCCGGAGGAAGGGCCCCCCCCCTTCCCCGCAGGACAGCAGGACCCTCCCTCAATCCGCTCCCACCCGCGGAAAGCCAGCCCTTTCCTCCAAGCGCTCCTCGGACCCCGCCCATTCCCTGCGTGGTGTGTGCGAATGAAAACTTACAAAAAGGATTTTCCTGGGAAAGTGAGACTTGTCAGCCTGGAAAGAGATCCTGCTGGGGGTGGGGGGACAGTGGGGCTGAATGGGAAAAACACGGGCAGGACCCCAACGCCTCAAAGTGCAGGATTTAAAACATCTGGTAGGAATGCATTTTCTTATCAGAAACACGTGAAACACGTTAACCTAAGAGGCGCCCATGGCTCCACCTGGGAACAGACCTGTCCTACCCCCGCAGAGAGAGATCGGTGCTTGCTCCCCCAGCATCTAAGTCACACTGACAGCTGCCCTGTCCCTTCAGGGCAGCAAGGCCTCCACCATCTTCCCCTCCCATCAGCTTCAGAGGCGGTGCAGGCGGCAAACCAGCTGCGGGGAGAGGGGAAGCCTCCTAGCGGCCCGTCCATCTAGTCCTGCTCCCCTGACGCCTGTGTCGGAGATGGCCCAGGTGTGCACAGCTGTGCCGGTGTGGCTCCCTCAGGGGCCTGAGCTGGCAGCTTCCTCCCAGGACCCCCATCGGCCACTCCAACAGCACAGATGCCTGGGGAAGGTCAGGGTGTACCGATCAAACAGTGGTGTGTTCATTTGTGGGTCAAAAGTTCCTTTAGAGAAATGGGTGAAAATGAAAGAGTTCTACCCCAGACAAAGGCAAACGCACAAAACTCTCCCGTGATTTCAAGGGCTCAGGGAACTCAGGCAAGTCTTCACTCGGATGGCCTAGGCGCAGTGATGGCGAACCTATGACACTCATTTTTTTGGTTGATTTTTCTTTGTTAAGTGGCATTTAAATACATAAAATAAATATCAAAAATATAAGTCTTTGTTTTACTATGGTTGCAAATATCAAAAAATTTCTATATGTGACACGGCACCAGAGTTAAGTTAGGGTTTTTCAAAATGCTGACACGCCGAGCTCAGAAGGTTCGCCATCACTGATAGGGGTTAGCGGCCCCTCCTCAGGGGTCTGTCCTGAAGGCAGAGGGTCGGCTTAAACCGTCTCCAGACGCAAGCCCGGCCTGGGCCTTCAGGACTCCGCCTGCCAGTTATCTATTAGAAGGCATGATGGGAGAGGGCCGGGCATCCCAAGTCCGTCCTCATGACGAGAAGAACTTACCAGCACAATGGCTGTGTCTGACCTGTTCCTTGAAGACTGCATGCAGCTTTCACAAGTGGCAGCCGTAATCACATAGATGAATCTCCCTGATCTCAAGATCAGACAGGAAATCACTTTTTTCAGAAGAACCGATGGTGGCATTCCGCTTTTCTCATGCCAACGTGGAAATGGTTTGGTTTGTCTGAGAATGTTTTCCCTTCCGCCCCGCCCCGCCACGCCCCCCCCCCCCCCCCCCCTTTTTTGTGTCCCAGGTCCGGGCCTAAAAAGTGGGCAGGAAGAGGCTTTGATTTTTTTTTTTTTTTACTTATTTCCTTGTGCCCAGCTCCCCCACCTGGTCTGAATAGGTTTTACCTCGTAAAAGAAATAAAACATTGCTCTGAGCTCTCTGCAATACTTTCCTGAAAGGAAAACTTGTTTTCCTTCAGGGAGAATAACAACAACAACGTGCAAAGGTGTCATGTAAAACTAGTTTTTCTTTATTGAAAATACATCTACAAGGTAAGGCTCCCGCCCACCTGGGTGCGTGTCCCCGCAGAGCCTGTGATGGGCGGGCGAGAGGCTCGGCCTAGAGGCCTTGCGCTCAGCTCCGTAAGAAATGGTTAGTGTATAAAAGTGATCACATCGCGTAACAAGTCATTTGACACGATTAATTTTTGCTCTACCGGTGTAAGATGACATCCGAGTACAGGAACTTCTGTAGCGTGTTCCCGAAATAGAGCCTCGACATTAAAGGGTTACTCCACCACAGCCTAATGTTAACTTTTACGCACACATAATGCTCGGAGTCTATATAAAAATCTCTCTAATTGCATACCGGAGGACGCATGTCTAGATCCTCAGTCTGTTAGCATCATTAAGTCCACCCTCCACCATTTTCAGGTCAGAAACTCAAACACCGCTGGCTGGCCACCGTCCGACAGCTCCCACTCCATGTGTGTGGCCGGATGTTCCTCAGGGGGTGAAAAATTAATCTCTAAACTGGGAGCTGCCTTGCCTGAACCAATGCCCCGGCCGTTTTTTTCTTGGAACCACACTGACCATGTCTTTATACTGATTCCTCGCCTACCATTTCTCTCAGGGACACAAATAAAACCAAACAAAACCCCACTCCAGCTGAAGGTTTTGAATGGTTAGGTGGAATTCCAACACAAAGACATATCTTGTTTCCCTCATTCCAAGAACTTTTGATTATAGTCCAAAACCTGTTCAAATGAGAGACCACCCACCCAGCTCACAGACCTTTATTAGAGAGAGCGCTCATTCATTTGACTTGTTTAAAATATATAAGAAGGAATCTCATATTTTGATATGCAGACTTCCTTGAGGAATGTTTCTGAACTGAAGAGAAAAAGTGTTTCTGGTTAAGAAAAAAAAAGAACCTCTTTCATTAAAAAATTCTTCCTTAAAGATGACCTCTATGTAACCTTGATATTTAAAAATCCTCTCTTTCGAATGTCAACTGTGCTTTGTTCTTCCCTAGCTGGCTCTTTCGTGTTCCACAGTAAGACCACGAGCACCCTTGCTAGTTGCTAGTCTTACATTTTAGTTTCTACAAGTCTACCGTCAGTTGAGGAGTGGTGGGAAATATCCTTCCCAGACCAGTCCAGGGAAGGGTAGGAAGAAGGGAAAACTCCCCCTGTCAGGAAGAACTGAGCGAAGAGATTGTGAATAATTCCACGCCTCCTCTGGCCTGGTGACGTGTACAGCTGACATTTTGTATACAGGACCTGGCACCCACACCACATCCTGCCCTTACTCAGAAGCGTTCATTCCCCATCAGCATCCATGGGATGATGCTTGCTACTGGATGTTCCCAGGGGAGATAGAGGACAGGATGCTTGGGTTACGAGTGACCACGAAGGAGTTTAGGGAACTCACCCATTTTACAGATGAGGACACTGAGGCCTAGAGATAACACGTAACTTGCCCATGGCCACATGGAAATTTCACTTTATGCACCTCCTCACAGCTGTGCTAGGTGTGGATTCATATGGTCCTGCTGCTAATAAAACAAACACACAAATCAGGACAGAAAGGGGAGAAAAGCCTTCTGTCCAACTGAAAACCAAGTGCAGTTTATCAAGTTGCTCTGTTTTGATCCTACAATTGAAGTGTGTTCTGAAAGACTTTCAAAGTTTGAGAGTTGATTTAAGCACATGTTTAGCCTACTATTTGTTTGACTCTTTAACTTATAAAAAAATCACATTTACAGGATTGTGTGTCACATAAACTTGCAAAATCTGATCAAGACTATTATTTTTTTTTAAATCTCGGTACCTTCTTAGAGAAGACTAACATGAAGTGACTTGAAACCTTCGAATGTGGGATGAGCACTACACATGTTGGCCGCTGCCAAACCCTCCCTTGAGTTTGGATGCACACGTGCAAATCCTACCAGAGTTGGGAGGACAAGGGAGTAAGGGGCTTCCTGGAGAGGATAAGCTGTAACGAGACGGAAACATTTTGTCATGGTTTTCAAACCCTGGTGCTCAAGAGAACATTTCTTTCTGTTAGTCTACATCTTGGTTTCACTGTCGATGGGTTTCTCAGTGTCGCTCTCCTGGGCAATCAGCTGATAGGGTTTCTTCATTTCGTTCTCTTCGATCACGGAGTTACCCATCTCCACATCTGGGTTCTTCAGTTCATGCCGAGATAAGTGCTCCACAATGCCGGCCCCCAGCGAGTCTCCCAGCACGTTGGTGGTGGTGCGGAGGCGGTCCCTGGGGAAGGCGGGGCGGGGAGAAGGAACAATGAGGCTCCATCAGGTGATTCCAGCTTGTGTTTTGAACCCCCCCGGGAAGTTTGGAAGCATCTCTTAAAATTCTGCTTGGTGTATCCCCCAACCGCCTCATTACATAATCTATACATCACCTTTATAATAGCAGTTATTACAAGTTATAAGGACCTATAGATGATTAATTTTCAGTTACTAGAGTACCAACAGTGGGGAATGATCCTTCCCTTTCTCCTTTTATTTAAAATTTCTCTTTGATTCTCTTTCCTACAACTCACCTTCCTTTACACCAGCGGTTCCAAAAGTATAGTCCAGAGACCCCCTGGGTGTCCCTGAGGCCAAAACTATTTTCATAATAATGCTAGGAGGTCATTTGCCCTTTTTACTCTCATCTCCTCAAGAATGTCTAGCAGAGTTTTGCAAAGACTACAACAAAAGATGCAACCAATGACTGAATACAGAAGCAGCCGGGAGACCCCAGCCGTCTTGCATGAAAGCCAGACATTAAGGTGATTTGCAGAAATGTAAAATGATATCATTCTTTCCACTAAATTTTTGGTTTGGAAAATGATTTTTCTCATAAAAATGTGATGTATGTTCACATGTAACGAATTTATTATTGTAACCTTTAGAGGAAGTCC